TTCAAAAATAAATCATTCTCTTGATTTTAATAACTAAGCAAGCCCACAAGTATTTAGCAAAATAATTTGGGATTAACCCATTTTGGAAAACTCCACATTTTAGGTCACAAAAATCAAAGTCAACATAGTCAATACCATCTCACATAATCACTACAATTCAACATAAGCAACATGATTCAACTCAACATCATTAAATATAATTTAACATAATTCAAGAGGAATTCTTAAATTCTATTTCAACATTCCAAAACCAAGTTCATATCATTCATACCATTAATAGATTATTTCCTCATTTTTCCCTTCACATGCTAGCATGAATTCCAATATTCATAACAAAGTTCATTTGCAAATTTTAAACATAATTTTCAGACATTTCCAAATTCTAATTAAACTTGAACACATATAATTCAATACCTCAATTTCATTATTTTACTTTCAATTTGGGCCAAAACATTGGGTATCATCATTAATCAACCTAGGGTTTCAAGAAAAATGAGGATTTTTAACAAAAATTCACACTTATTAAATCTCCACTTTTAATTCCAATTTTCCCAATGATTCTACATCTAGGATTCACAATTCATCATTTTAACCCACCAATTTAACTTCCAACATCTCAAACTCTAAATCCCCAAATCTCATAATATGCCCTAGATGATAAAAATGAAGATTTTTGCATTAATATAATGAAGTTACCATAAATCTATCCATAGATGTAAGTATTGAGGAGATCTAGAACCCCTACCTCGAAGAACAAACAAAGGAGCGAGCTTGGATGAGATTCCACCTCAATTTCGAAATTCAATCGGTTGGAAATGTTGACCCTTTCTTGTTCTCCATCCTTGATACAAGATCCATGGAGGATTTGTTGATAAAAGTGGAGGAAATCAAGGTTTTGGAAGCTAGGGTTTCGGACATGGAAGAGGGGAGAAGAAGAGAGGAAAAGAAATTGCAAGAAATGGTCCAAAAATCCTGTTTTTAGAGCTGCTGTCCCGCACAGACCGCACGTGCGGCGCTATTCCCCGCACGTGCGGCTCTGCTTCCAGCACAGATGTGAAAATTTCAAACGGGTATAACTCTCTCATCGGGACTCCGTTCTAGGTCGTTCTTGTGTCCAAATCGAAGCCCCGGAAATAAGCTTTCCAATGGTTCTAACCTCACATTCAAATTCAAAGTGTGGAAAAAGAAAAGGACAAATGAATGACGGCTGATCGTAGATTAACTATTCGAATTAAATTCGTTGGTCCAATCTTACTTTACCATCATACCACCACCTCAAACAATAACCCAAAATAAGGTAAGAACATTCCAAATACACTATTAAGAATGTCAAAAATGAGCCCATGCTCGAGCGGAGGGTAAAAAAGAAAAATTTCAAGCCGATACAATAAAGGTCGCCATAACTCAGCAGATAATTCTTTAATTCCGATAGATATAGTTGAATTAAAACACATTAAACCCTAATTAAATAAGGATGACTTTCTATACGCATTTGGGGGTCATTACATGTAGCATGTGGGTTGCATTGGAATGGATCGAAATTTATTTGAAAACTTATGTTAGCTCCAGCCAAACTTTTAGAACATTAAGTTTGTTGCCTAAGTCCCTACTTTTTCAAAATGCCTCAGATTACTTGTCCAAAAGCCCAACCACAACACACACACACACAAACACACACACACACAAAAAAAACTGTCAGGACGCATAAATAAAACATAAAAATTACACCTCCTTACCCTATGTCAAGAAAACCAATCTCAGTTCGGTCCATTATGAAGTGAAAATCTTTTGAAGTACTTATAAAAGCAATAAGTCTGTCATGTTCACTATGTTCTCTGTAGTTGACTTCTAATGGCATTTGATCGTGGTCATATGCTCAGATTCTAAACTACTATCTAAGTGGAGCAAGATGAGACATCTAGATCTAAGGGTTAATTATTTCGACAAGGACATCTTACGGATTTTGGGTGCTCTCCCGTCACTTAAGTTTCTATCCTTAGCTGGCAATGCAATGGAAGGACCACTTTCTAACCAAGGTGCACGTATTTTCTTTTTCTTTTTCTTTTTTTTTTTTTTTAAATTCTTGCTCTTTAAGTTTATTTTTTTTTAAATTCTTGCTCTTTCAGTTTCTATCCTTAGCTTCATTTGAGTGTTGAGAAGACTTAGAGTAGTTGGAAAATGAAATCTTACAGCTACATACTGGCTAAGTGACTTTTCACATCTTTATTTCCTTTTCCACCTCCTGGTAAGCAAACTGTGGAAACTATGTTTTTGTTTATTGTGTTTCCTTTTCTGGTTTTTCTAATCTATCAATGCCATTGTAGACTGTAAAAATTTAAAATCATTTTTTTTAGTTGGCCCTGAAGCACTAACTGATTGAACTGGAAAAAATATATATATAAAAAAAATATAAAAAATAATAATTGTCCCTTCACTTTGGTAACCCAGGTGCCCATAAATGTAGGTTGCATTGCAGCATCAAATCCAATTCTGTTCATCTCTATTTTCTTTGTTTCAGTGTATTTAACATATTGTCCCTTCACTTTCGTAACAAAACTGACTTATAATGTTAGCAATTTGGAGGTCCTCATCCTCGCAGGCAATCGGCTCAATGGAACATTGCCAATGGAAGGCAAGAAATTTGTCATTTTAAGTTACATTGTTAATTTGTTTTCAAATGGATGTCAATTCGTCGTCTTTATTATTATTTTAATCTTAAGATCATTTTTGAGCTCTGTTATTTTGTAAGTTCTTTTGGCATCATTTATCTTTTATTATATGTTTTGGCAGGTTTAGCATCTTTCAACCATCTGGAGATCTTGGATTTGAGTTCAAATAAATTTAATGGGAGTGTTCCTCCATTCGTAGCGGCATCTTCTCTGAAAGCTTTATATTTGAGTTCAAATAAATTTAACGGTTCTTTACCCATTCCAGGTAAAACTCTACCATGATGGTTTGTTAATGTAATTGTAACAAACTAAATGACAAACAAAAAGAAATTTAAATAAAGATGCTAATTTGCTGGGTTTTATTTGTTTATTTGTTATTATTATTATTTTAAGTTGATTGCTTTGTGCTTGCTTAATTTGTTCATCATTGATGAAAAATTTGAACTATCAATATCTTTCCTTTTAAGAGGTAGTCAATTTCTTATAATAACAAACATTTTGAAGAGTATCGTATAAATTTCTTTTAGCATGACCAGTGAGATGGACATTACATTAATTTGTTGCTTTTGCAGGTTTATGTGAACTGAAGAAACTTGAAGTGCTCGATCTCAGCTATAACCACTTTAAAGGAATCCTTCCTTCATGCCTTAGCAATTTGACGTCTCTCAGGTTGTTTGATCTTTATGGGAACCAACTCACTGGAAACCATTTATCATCTCTGCTGGGCAGCCTCAATTCCCTAGAGTACATTGATCTTAGGCATAATCGATTTGAGGGATTATTCTCATTTAGCTCACTTACGAACCATTCCATGCTCCAGGTGGTTGCAATTACAAGTGATAATGACAAATTTGAGGTGGAAACTGAATATAAAGATTGTTTACCCCTGTTTCAGTTGAAGGACCTTGTGCTATCAAATTGTAATTTGAACAAGTTCTCTCATGATTTTCCGAAATTTCTCCTTCACCAGAACAAACTAAGTTCTATTGATCTCTCCCACAATAACTTGGAAGGTTCATTCCCAAACTGGCTACTTGTGAACAATACGGAACTGGAATTTTTAAGCCTGCGGAATAACTCTTTTGTTGGTGAATTTTGTTTGTCACCATATTACAATTCTTATACTAATTGGATGGATGTTTCAAACAATCAATTAATTGGGCATATTCAACTTAATATGGGCGAGATGGTTCCATATCTTATACACATAAACCTATCCAAGAATGCTTTTGAAGGTAGTATCCCATCCTCAATAGGTAAGATGAGAATTTTGGAGATTCTAGATTTATCCAGTAATAATCTTTCAGGAGAAGTACCGAAGCTATTAGTCAGAAATTGCAGATCTCTACGTTCTTTAGCGTTATCAAATAACAAATTTCATGGCCGAATGTTTTCAGATGACTTCAAATTGACTCAGATAGAGTATTTACGATTGAATGATAATCAGTTTACAGGGCCTTTAACAAATGTGATCTTCAATTTGTCTGAACTACATTTGCTGGATATTAGCAACAACAACATGTCAGGTAAGATTCTAGGTTCGATGAATAACATGATACGTTTGAGAACATTGATCATGTGAAATAATGCGTTTAATGGTCAGTTCCCATGTGCATTGGTTCCAAATGTGTTTATGGACATATCTCATAACTCATTTTCAGGATCACTTCCTTCTTGCTCAAACCCAAACTTGGGAATCGTGAGGCATATGCATTTGCAAGGGAACAAGTTTGCAGGTTTCATTCCAAAAGCTCTTCTTAATTCATCAAAACTTGTGACATTGGACATCAGTGACAACAACTTGTCTGGTAGCATTCCCCCGTCCATTAGGTTGCTTTCCAACCTCAGCATTCTTCTATTGAGAGGAAACCAATTGGGTGGTTCCATTCCAACACAACTGTGCCAACTGAATAAGATAAGCTTGATGGATCTTTCCAAAAACTCTTTTACGGGGTCTATACCTCATTGTTTAAGTAATATCACATTTGGGGCAATAGGGGCTACTGATCTTGCTTTCACTCAAACACCTTTAAATTTTTACCCTACTACGGATATCCACTATGTGTATGAAAATGTCTTAAACCCACAACTAGAAAGGGCCTTTGAGATTGATGGCCCGGATGGCTCATATGATAAAGTAGATGAAGTTGAGTTTGTTACTAAATGTAGGACTAACTCTTACTTGTCTGGCAGCATCCTTAATTTCATGTCCGGATTGGATTTGTCATGTAACAAACTAGCAGGTGAAATACCTTTTGAACTAGGGAAGTTAAGTAGTGTTCGTGCACTGAACTTGTCTCACAATCTCTTGACTGGACCCATCCCGAAGACCTTCTCTAGCCTTACCCAGGTAGAGAGTTTGGACCTTTCTTACAACAATTTGAGCGGAAACATCCCAACAGAACTAATTAATCGAAATTTTTTGGAAGTGTTCACTGTGGCTCACAACAATTTATCAGGTAAATTATTAGACAGGAAAGCACAGTTTGGGACCTTTGAAGCGAGCAGTTATGAGGGAAATCTATTTCTTTGTGGACCACCATTGGAGAAAAATTGCAGAGCCATTGTTGACTTGGCAAACTGGCCAACAACAGCATCCTCAGATGAAACTAAGGGGAAATTGTATGATATCGATCGAGTGGCTTTTTCTACAAGTTTTGTCGCAACATACATTACTTTCTTGTTTGGATTTGCTGTTGTTCTTTACATCAACCCGTACTGGCGACAAAGGTGGTTCGATCTGATTGAAGAGGGTATGTGTTCAAGTAATTATTTTGTTTATGATACTCTTTACAAGCTTTTACGTTTTCAGCCTTCTGTATAATTAGCTATGCATGGTTTGTTTTCATGGACAAGCACAACAAATGTTTATGATAGTTAACTTTCTATTTCCTATGAATAAAAAACAACGATTAGTACCCATTATTGTCTACTTATTTTCATCCTTTTTGTTGTTGTTGTTGCTGATGATGATTTGAAACATTTCTATCAACTTTTATGAGTTGATATTTTACTCGGGATGCATTACAAGTAGGGTCCTAGAAAACATATCTTGCTTTTTGAATTTTCTGGGTCGAACTAGGATGATTTTTTAATTTTATAAGAATTATTTTACTAACTTTTTATTTCATTAATATTTTATAATATGTAATGAAATAATCTCTAATTATTTCACAATTTAAATAATAACATCAATTTTATGGAGTCAATTTTATTAATACAAGAGATATATGTCACTTATTTTTTAAATTTTAAAAATCAAATGGTATGTATACTTTTCTTATGAGTAATGCTAGAGAAGTTAAAATGTTACTCCTAAATTTATTTACAATGACATGGCTGGAGTTAGATCTTAATTAATTGATTTCTAAATGAGTAACTAACATGTCACATTTAATGCCATGGAGTATAAATTTAGAAGTCATGTTTTAAGAGTCTTAAACATTTTTCATTTTTTATTTATTAGATTATATCAATCAATAAAATAGCATAAAACAATGGTTTAACCGATTGCATATTGAGATCTAATAGTTCAAAACTTAAAAAATATTTTTTAGATTTATTTAATTTTATTATGAAATACTTTTTTCACAACGTTTATATAAGAAATTATATTAAATTACTAATGAACCAAAACTAATTCAATATTTTTATGCATATATGTTGGTCTCTCCCGGACAAAATTCCTAGTTCCGCCCCTGATCTTAATGCACACTATTTGTGTGGTTCGAATATAAATTTTTGAACAAAAGTCAAATATTTGATCATAAACTTTTGAATAAAAATGAATTGCTTAGATATATATCTCGTTCACTATTTATGTTCCAATTAATTGTTCTTGTTCATAAATTTATATCCAAACATTTAACTTTGTTCAAAATTTTATATTTAAATAATATATAATGAGAATTTTTTTTTTTTTTTAATTTGTAGTGTGCAAATAGGATTATTCTTACTAGTGCTGTAGAAACCAAAAAAAAGTTGTACCTAAGGTTTTTTCCAACTTGAGTGGCATTTGTTCCTTGTTGAAAATCATCATAAATATAGCAAACTAGCAAGGTTGATGAGTTTATTTCACAGAAGGTTGGATAAAGACCAAAAACATTATATTGTATGTAAAAATTTTTATTTATTTTTTATTTTTTTTTTCGGTTGTAGATCATATGATTTTAATAGTGTCAATGTCATATTCTGATATGCTATAGTGTTGACATGTCATATTTTAAGAGACTCCGCTCTAACAATGCATGTGTTAATTTTTTATTTTTTAAAAAATTAAATGCACTCTAATAATTAATATTAATAAAAACTTCAACTTATTAGTTTATCACGAGATCCAACACTCAAATAGATTAAACACATTGCCCGCCATCATATGATTCAATCTTTTAAGTTTCATCATAGATTTCGTAATGATCTTATTGAAATTTGAACATATATGATCAATACAATAAGAGTAAAGTTGTCAAGCGACTGCGTTTTATATATTTGAAATGTTTTTAAATTTAAATTATTTTAATAGGATGGTCAATATTTATTAAAAATATAAAATTTAATTTTAATATCAATTTATTGGTTTTAATAAATTTATTTTAAAAAAATACATGTCATACCATTTTTTTTTAAGACAAAATAGTAAAATTTAAAAGTCAATCATCAAACATTCATTATTACTAATAGCTCATTGTTGGAGTTATTCTAAGACTCTATTTGGATTATAGATTTTGAGTGAAGATTTTGAGTAAAGATTTTTTTTTAAAAAAAATGAAAAATGTGTGAAAATCGTAATGAAATATAAGTTAAAAATTTTCTCTATTTTTATTTTCCTTTCCTTTACCAAATTTCTATCCAAAATTTATGATCCAAATAGCACTTTTTTTTGAACAAAAATACAATGCAAGTCAAGGAAGCTATTTCTAGTGGGAGATTTTCTCTTTCTTCAAGGTTCACCGCTGGAAATTTGACATTTAGTGGCATTTAAAAAACGCCACTAATTCTTTTCGTGAGGTTTAGTATCAAACGTCAAAGACGCGGCCGTCACTATAGCATTATTGCGCTTTTAAAACGTCGTCAAATTAAAATAGGTGGCGTTTTTAGAAACGCCGCTAAATGTTGTACATAACAACATCAAACATTAGCGACGTTTTAAAAACGTCGTGACAGATTTTTTCTTATTTTTAAAAAAATGACCGTTGGCACCGTAGTGGCGTTTTGGAAAATGCCATTATAACTCTTTTTTATTTTTTATTTTTAAGATTATGCTTAATTCTGTTAGATTTAACTAAAAAAACATACTTGTAATACAGCTGAAAAATAGCAATAATATGGATAAACCTATTTCAATATATTGACTATATTTAGACAAACATTGCATGATTATTTTAAACCAAAATCAAACAACAAACACAACCAAAAAATATTATATCACACAGTTTTTAATTTCAGCCAACAGCCATAACAAAAACAACAGCTACAAAAACAAAAACAAAAAAACTAATTCGTCCATAAAGATGAACTTCAGAGCTCCACAAAACATCCATACAAATAATGCCCATATGCACCTGCAAGGAATGATAAAACATAACTACTTAAGTAATTATGGTAAATTTGGCCATAAATGACGATGCTACCCAATAAAATAATAGATGTGAAACAAAAAGAAATGACATCTTCAAGTAATTTCTTCCATCATATCCACCAACAACATATAGAGTATGCCATTAATTTCTACTTAATTTCGTATTATAGGTATGTCTAGATGTCAAGAACATTACACCAAACCAAAATAAGAAAGGCATTAGTTCCCTTGTCAACAGCAATTTTCACATAGCACAATGTCCTAATTGGATAAGAAAAATAGATGGATTATCCTTTAAATTACCAGCTCATAGCAATACCAGATGGCAAACTAAAAACATAAACAATTCCCGCTATAAGATATGCCTTTGTATGAATGAAAAACCAACACATTTGAGCAATAAGCACTTTATTCAAACACTAGATGTAATCTTAATCTGATACCATCTACAATGTACATAAAATTAAAAAGTCAAAGAAATGATCAAATAGAAAGAGAAATGGATATAGAAGAAGAAGAGGAAGAAGAAGAAGAAGTAATAGAAGCATACATACCCTTGTTGGAAGAGGTCGAGATTATGAAAGTGATGAATGAAGATGGCAATCTCGTGAACAGCCTCAAGTAATTTCTTCCATCATATCCAACAACATGCCATTAATTTCTGCTTAATTTCTTAGCTACAACAGAGAGCATATCCTTTGCATTCTGATCCCAGACTCACATCACATCCTTTGATTACCACAGCAATTGAGTAATTGATGCTGATAGTCTCACCCCCTTCGTCTACATCTGACCTGCATCAATAGCGAAAGAAAATGAAGTTACAAGGGAAAAAAATTCTATATAAGATGCATTGTAGTGCAAAGCTTCAACATTGTCCCAAGTGAACATAAGATGATTTGGTGAATTGACCATCTGTAGACCTAACTGAAAGTGTAAGTAAAGTCTTTGGGCAACATATATCAAAAGCGTCTTAACAATTAAGATGATGAAGAAACTAACCAAAGTAGCTAATCTTTTCAGTCTCCTTCTTCAGCAAGACCAGAGCTGGACGTTTGGCTCAGGGATCACTGTGGAAAACTTTTGCCACTTCGGGACTAGAAGTTTGATAAAAGCTGACATCCTCTTCCAGTCTTGAAGCAGCAAACAGCTCCTCGCTTTGTGGAACCTGCATTTGTTGTGGGAAAGTTGACTAAAATGAGACCTGAGCAGCTGTCGGGCAGCTTATGAGAGTAACCTGTCAAATTCAGATTCTAAGCAAACAAAGAAGCACTGTATACACATGAAGTTGGGATTAATCAGTATATGCATTCAACCCATGCACACACATTGTTTTGTAAATTGATCAACTTATCATTTGTGATCTTAAGATCGAATGATTTATTTAAGGCCCGATAAACTAGTTAAAAAACAAAAATTATCAGGAAAAAAAATATGAAAACGCATTAGTAAAACTCAAGGCAACGTATCAATTTCGGGTTGTTCAAAAAAAAAATCTTTAAGCAACCTCTAGCAGCACATGGTCAAGGTGTTTTAAGGCATGTAGGAGTGACAAAAAAGTGATAAATAACTTGTGTGCATTTCAAGCAAGTAACTAGTAGGAAATTTTATAATGGAGCTGTCAATATATGTTCTGCTTCCTCTACTGTCGATAGGTTGTATATACCAGGTCCCGTCTTCTTTTTCGCCCAACTCACAATAGCATCCCTACAAAAGATGAGTAATAAGACAATAAGACAACAATATTGTTCCATATTGTTCCAACCACCTACATGAAGTCAAATTGATCCAAATGAAGACAAGTTTTGAATTCCAAGGAACAAAAGTAAAAACCAGAAATCTTCCACTGCAGAGAAAATATGAGCTACCACCACAAATTACCACAAGTATAGCAAACCAATATGTAACAGAATTCAAAACCAACTAAATAAAACTTACTGGCTAACAATCTCTAGATCAAAGAGAGATGGGCAGGCTGATAAAGCTGCACAAAATGCTGCGTTATCCATTCTTTCAATATTGTAAAGGTGCAACCTCCTCAAAAGAACCCTTCAAATTCAAAGACAAAGAAACAAATTCAATATAATATATATATATATATATATATGGCGAGAATTTCCCTGGACATGGGCACATGCACCAATAAGGAATTTTAGATAAGCCCAAAAAAGCCCCATCGTGCTTAGGTGCCATGCCATGCAGCAGCCTAGAGTGGGCTACGTTGGAAACTCAGGACCTTGACCAAG